AAATATGTTATTGTGGTTTAAGAGTATACAATCCACAATAAGACAGTCTACTTTTATATTTTGAAATTTAATTTAACCAATTGTTATTAACCCATGAAATGCATGGGACTTTATGTTTTTATAAACATAGTGGAATATTTCATGCATTTCTATAAAAATACTACTTTTGCAAAAAAAAAAAAACGTCACGTTGATATTTTTCTTACATTCCATGGAATACAAAAAATATATGACATTTGCAGTCATCCATGTTTCCTTTAATTTCCAACACCAATAATATTAAAATCCTTATTATAACCATTATTATTATGAATGCAATTATTAAAAAAAAAGAACAACACTTCGCAAACAAAAATAGTTTTCCCTCAAGGTATTTGCTTGCAACACAGTTGGTGGTCTATTGCTTGCAATTCGCACGAACAGAAAAAAATACAAATCAATTTGCAGTTCACACTGAAACGTGTGAAAAAAGTTGAGAAGCTAAGATGAAAAGGCTAACAATGAGGTCACCATGTCCGACACTACAATCCATAATTCAAATGAACAATAAGCACATGCAATTAATTGAACAATTCCGATATGCATTAATATGACCTTTTTATGAGGGGTAGTTAAAATATGATTTATTGTCATCAATATGATTTGTCGTTGCAACACCGCAGGAGGGATGTATCAATTGATTGTAATATTTGTTGCGTGAAAGTTACCACCACTTCAATTATGATTATGACAATTCATATATTTTATAACTGCGAACAACCCTTACATATTGGAAGATCGGTTCTTAGGACAATACAACATGGGCCAATTGATAAAGAAGTGCATGACTAAAGTACACTGAAAAAAATAAAAAATATAAAAACAATCTTCTTCTGTTTGGTAATAAAAACGTAATAATTGAACGCTTTGTATACTCAGAGGATTACATGGCTCGTTTAACATCTTAGAAAAATAAGGAATAAATATCTTTCTTATAGTAAATTTACATTGAACCGGATTTCGTTAATCCAATGGGTTTACATTGTTAATTCCTTTGAATAAATTCCAAATAAATCCTCATAATGTGGGTTAACACGATAAAAATTTGTTATGTAAATGTCATTTTAAGCTTCCTAAATAAATTTTAATAGTTCTAACTAAATTTTTAATATAAATTACTCTAAAATTGGGTTCTCATTAAGCCCAGTATGAAGTCTACACTTCTAATACTAAAATATTTCAATATAGGTTCATACTGCGACATAGGTTATATTTTCCAATTTAAATTTTTGAATTTTCATAGAATAAAAAAACCTAAAGAAAACCAAATAAAAATCACAATAGCTCATATAAAACAATCCCGACCTATTGAAGGTATTATGAAAATCCTAGAACCATGTTTTTAGGACCGGTTTTAGGTTGCTGGAAAAATATTAATGCTTTAAAATGTTTATCTCTTGAAATTTTGGATCCTTGGATTGAGATAGACCCATTCCTTAAACGGATGGTGACTGGACATGAGAAATGGATCACATTCAATAACCCTGTGAGAAAACGATCGTGGCCAAAGGTGAAACACCTCAAATGGGTGCAAAACCAGGACTAACGGCCAGGAAGGTTCTGCTATGCCTTTGCTGGGACTGGAAGGGGATTATTAATTTTTAGTTGCTTTCATATGACTAAACGATAAATTCTGATCTCTACTGTCAACAACTGGGCCGTTTGAAGATAGCAATTGATCAGAAACGATCAGAATTGGCCAACAGGACAACGCTAGGCCACACACATCTACAGTGACTCGCCAGAAACTTCGGGACATTGGTAGGGAAGTTTCAATGCATCCGCCATACAGTCCGCACTTGGCGATTATCATCTTTTTTCTTGCATTGCAAAATTTCTTTTATGATAAAAAAATTGGTTAAAATCGAGTTTTTGCAAATAGAGAGTAGGACTTCAATGAGAGAGGCATTACGAAGTTACCTTTAAGGGAACCCCACCCATTCTCGATTTTAATTTTTCAAGATTTTCAATGGGCTGGTAAATGAATACCAATGCTTGTTAAGGTTTGTAACTTTGCACGTATATAATTGAAGATTTAAAAGAGAAGAAAAATAATTTACAAAAAATGTTTGTTGTTGTTTTGTTGTTGTTTTTTGTAATTAAAGAAAAGTCCTTATTTTTGATGGCGGGCATGATAACTCCTCACTGGAACATCGAAATCCGAAAATTCCAACGGTGTTAGAAAGAGTACATGTCTAGCTCTCGTATGAACTAGGATTATTGACTTCGATCTAAAATTAACAAAATGGTGGACCTTTGAAAAAATATTTGTGGAAAATCGGCGATTTTTTTACCAAAAACTAAGTTAAAAAATAAGGAAGATCTTCACCGATTGGCTTTATCCTAGTTCATACGATAGCTATATACTCACAGAGAAACGTGTAAAAATTTGAAATCGATTGGGTTATTAGTTTTTGAGTTATCGTGCCCGCCATTCACAAAAAAATGTTTAGAGAAAAACGCGTTTAAAGTTTGAGAAGCCCTTTAGCCGTCACTTCATGCTTACACAATAAATCGGCTATATCTTCAAGAGTTCTTGAGATTTTCACTTGAAATTTTGTAGGGACATTCATCAATTAGTGTAGATTCGAATTATATCAACAACATTTTGACCCCGAGAATGGGGTCACCGATTGGCTTTATCCTAGTTCATACGATAGCTATACACTCACAGAGAAACGTGTAAAAATTTGAAATCGATTGGGTTATTAGTTTTTGAGTTATCGTGCCCGCCATTCACAAAAAAATGTTTAGAGAAAAACGCGTTTAAAGTTTGAGAAGCCCTTTAGCCGTCACTTCATGCTTACACAATAAATCGGCTATATCTTCAAGAGTTCTTGAGATTTTCACTTGAAATTTTGTAGGGACATTCATCAATTAGTGTAGATTCGAATAATATCAACAACATTTTGACCCCGAGAATGGGGGGGTCCCCTTAAAATGCAAAACGGTGGCCCAAATCAGAAGATACTCGATGCAGATCTATGATTTGAAATTAAGCTAATATGAAACAGTGAGCGGAGCAGTATAGTAGGACGGGGTCAATCATAAGATACCCCACACAACTATCATGAAAATCTAACTTTTTTAGGTCAACAGCTTCACTTTCTAACCCAGGCATATTTTCAAAATCTTGTTTTCCCGAGGTTAATATATAATCCATGAAATAAAAATTGATTCGACTCTCGAACTATTGACCGATGATTATATAAAAGACATCCTAAGTATTTGGTCAGATCCCTTTCACCGTGTTACATATGTGATGTTCTATAGAGCGACTAGAAAAACTGACAGGAATAAAGTTATCGGTTCATTGCAAACCCTAGATCTCATCTCAACATCACCGAAAATTATTGGCAAGGTCTTGACCATAACCGGAACTTCGTGTAAAATTTCAAAGCAATCAGTACGACATTTCCGCCCTTTAGTGGGGTAATGGTAATACTAAACAATATCATAACACATATTTACCTTTAAATATTTACGTTTCCGAGTACATACAACACCGTAAATGGCATCAATTTAAAGTTCAACCACTCCTCTTGGATATATTTTCAAGTTCTCGGGTATATGTCCTTCAGGAGTAAATATATACGGCCCAGAATAAAAACATTATAATTTTTGACACAAAAGTCTAGGTCCATTTGACCCGCTAAATTTTGACCGATTTTCTTCAAAACAGTCATACTTATTCATTGGCCAGATTCCCTTCCGGGTGTGACATTTCGTGATGCTCGGATCATAATTGTGGCGACGGACACATATGTCTAGATTGACTCAGCTAGACGAAATATGTCGATCGGTACACTTAAAGGTGGGGCTAGCACCAATATTTCGCGGCGTTACAAACTCATGGGGCTGCAAAAAGCTATAATACACTGACAACATAGTTGTGTAGGGTATATTACCAGTGGCTGTAATTTGGCTCGCCTGATTCCTGGTAAACAACAATTTTCTTAACAGAAAATATTCCAAATAGGTTAATTGTTTTTAGACTTTTCAAAAGAATAAGCTGTAAATTGGTATTTTGAATTCATTTTGGCGATCAGATCTGGCTAGGAAAAATTATCAATATTGGTTTATGTTTCGGGGTAGCATCCATGTAACAGTACCCCCAAAATTCGGTATTTTGATGGTCATGGTTGGGTGGTTATAATTTCTTATTTTGGGTTGTGGTATTGAACTTGCTAAAAATTATCAATATTGATGCACCTTTTACGTATGCACGTATTTCAACCAATTTGAGAGCAATATAATAGTTGAGATCCTCATTGAGCAGAAAATGTCCCTGCCCCAAATTTATTAACATTGCCCCTAGGTTCAGCCGCATTTTCCAAACGATGGAGCTTTACTGGGTTCTGGAAGGCTGACTTATATAAAAATTTATGCGGTGTATGTATACTTCAAAGTTTTGATATAAACCCACCTAAAGTTCCGCTTCTCGGTATTAAACAATTTTAACCGAATTTTCTCAGGGGAGATGGTATGATTTGGCATATCGGTGAAAAAAAATCGTGTTTCAGTTTTCCAACTAAAGTGTCTGTTTTCGAAAAAAAAATAGCATTAGAAAGCAATAACACCCCTTCACATATTTGGCTGGTCTCTAGACAGCACGTTGTTCTAAACAAGAAAAATATACCAAATAAAAATGCAAACATGTTCTTCAAAACCAAAAAATGCCCTGAAAAGTTAACAGAACTAGTGAACAATTTATGACATTTCAAAGTTTGTCACTAACTTGCATTGCAACAATTTAAATTAGTTGAAAAACTAGATATCAGATATCTGTTGAAAAATTAGTGCTAATCCTCATTAATTGTGAATTAATTAAGTTTATGCGCTACTTTCACACTACTTATTCTTCTTTTTCTTAAATTTGTTTTGTTTTATAAATTGTATAGAAATGTTAATAATTAATTTTATCGTCTTGTCATATTTATCACAATTTTTGTCTCTTTCAGTGAAATGGACATCATACGTCATGAACAAAATATGGCTACCAAAGATCTTGAGGGTTACCTCAGCAATCCAATAAATGCATATCGTCTGATAAAACGTCTCTTTACCGATTGGCCAACATTTGAGGAGACAATTGCAATGGACACAACACGTCAAGGTATGTATGTAGTATGTTGACATGGACATGCCAGGTAGGCAGTTAGGTTGGTTACTTGTAAACAGAATTTAATGAATATTTTCTTTAAACCACAGCATATACTACTTTGTCATACACAGAATGTACATTCAATTTGATGCTAGTACATGCAAAATATAGGCACAGTGGGAAGAGATTACATAATTTTTAAAAATTAAATTTTTAATTTCGCCTAAAGAAGATCTACTGAAGGTATTTTGAGCATTAAAGGCCAATTGAAGGTCATATGGGTATAGAAGAACTTCGGTCTTCAGAAGACCTCAGAAAAGTCTACTATGTATTCTAAATACAGAAGACTTATGGAAGGTCTTTTATGTATAGAATACCTATAGAAGGGTTTCTATGGTGTTTTATATATAGAAGACCTATAGATGGTATTTTAGGTATAGAAGACCTATAGATGGTATTTTAGGTATAGAAGACCTATAGAAGGTCTTCTATGTATGGAAGATCTATAGAAGGTCCTATATGTATAGAAGACCTATGGAAGGTCTTCTAGGTAAAGAAGACCTATAGAAGATCTTCTATGTATAAAATACCTATAGAAGGTCTTCTATGTATAGAATACCTATAGAAGGTAATTCAGGTATAGAAGACATATAGAAGGTATTTTATGTATGCAAGACCTATAGAAGGTGTTATAGGTATAGAAGACCTATAGAAGGTCTTCTATGTATAGAAGACCTATAGAAAGTCTTCTATGTATAGAAGAGCTATGGAAGGTCTTCTAGGTAAAGAAGACCTATAGAAAGTCTTCTTTGTATAAAAGACCTATAGAATTAAAAAAATAAAAACTAAATTAAATAAAAATTAAAAAAAATAAAAGACTAAATAACAATTTCCAATTACATCAGATGATAGTAGTAGGTCTAAAGAAGTTGTATTGAAGGCATTTTTTTGTCCTTAAGACCTAAAGAAGGTCATATATGCATTAAAGGCCTATAGAAGTACTTCAATGTTTGGAAGACCTCCGTCAAGTCTACCGTGTACAAAAGACATTTCGAAGACACTCTATGTACAGAAGACCTATAGAATGTATATACAGGCCATTAGAAGGTTAAAAAGGTATGCACAGAAGACTTAAATTCTATTCTTCTTCAATGGATAGAAGACCTATAGAAGGTTTTCTATTTGTAGAAGATCAATAGAAGGTCTTCTATGTAAAGAAGACCTATAAAAGTTATAGATATAGAAGACCTATAGAAGGTCTTATATGTATAGAAGACCTATAGAAGATCTTGTATGTATAAGAGACCTATAGAAGGTTCTATATGTATAGGAGACCTATGGAAGGTCTTCTAGGTAAAGAAGACATATAGAAGGTCTTCTATGTATAGAATACCTATAGAAGGTCTGCTTCGTATAAAATACCTATAGAAGGTCTTCTACGTATAGAAGACCTATAGAAGGTGTTTTAGGTATAGAAGACCTATAGAAGGTCTGCTTCGTATAAAATACCTATAGAAGGTCTTCTACGTATAGAAGACCTATAGAAAGTCTTCTATGTATAGAAGACCTATGGAAGGTCTTCTAGGTAAAGAAGACCTATAGAAGGTCTTCTTTGTATAAAAGACCTATAGAAGGCCTTCTATGTATAGAAGACCTATAGAAGACATTCTATGTAATGAAGACCTATAGAAGGTCTTCTAGGTATAGATGACCTATAGAAGTAAACAAATAAAAATTAAATTAAATAAAAATTAAAAAAATAAAAGACTGAATAACAATTTCCAATTTCATTAGATGATAGTAGTAGGCCTAAAGAAGCTGTATTGAAGGCATTTTCTTGTCCTTATGACCTAAAGAAGGTCATCTATGCATTAAAGGCCTATAGAAGTACTTCAATGTTTGGAAGACCTCCGTCAAGTCTACTGTGTACGAAAGACATTTCAAAGACATTCTATGTACTGAAGACCTATAGAATGTATATACAGGCCATTAAAAGGTTAAAAAGGTATGCACAGAAGACTTAAATTCTATTCTTCTTCAATGGATAGAAGACCTAAAGAAGGTTTTCTATTTGTAGAAGATCAATAGAAGGTCTTCTATGTAAAGAAGACCTATAAAAGTTATATGTATAGAAAACCTATAGAAGATCTTCTATGTATAAAATATTTATAGAAGGTCTTCTATGTATAGAATACCTATAGAAGGTAATTCAGGTATAGAAGACATATAGAAGGTCTTTTATGTATGCAAGACCTATAGATGGTCTTCTACGAATAGAAGACCTATAGAGGTTTTTCTATATATAGAAGACTTATATATAAGGTCTACTATGTATAGAAGACCTATATATAGATGGTCTTTTACGAATAGAAGACTTATATATAAGGTATACTACTATAGAAGACCTATATAAGTCCTAGGCATAGAAGGTCTTCTAAATATAGAAGACCTATAGGTCCTAGAAGACCTATATTACCATGCAGAAGGTATTTTAGGATTAGGATACCTATGGAGGGTCATAAATTTACAGAAAACTATAGAAGGTCTTCTTTGCATTAGCAGCCTCTTAAAATCCTTATTTTTATAGAAGACCTTTAAATAGTCTTCCGTCTTATAGAAAGTCAATCGAAGATCACGTGTTTATATCAGAAATTCTGGAGCCTTATATCGAAATAAGTATTCTGGAAATTACAATATTTCTCATTTTTGGAGGATGACCCATTTCGGTAGGTTGAAGGTCTTCCCACAGAAGTGGCTATAATTTCGCATTCCGGATTCCGACAGGGTGGAAAATATATTTGCAAAAAATTATTAACATAGGTTCATGTTTTGACATAGCCATTAAGGCCCGCCCCATATTATTTTCTATCGAAGGTTGTATATTTATGTCAGAAATTCTGGAGCCTTATATCGAAATAAGTATTCTGGAAATTACAATATTTCTCATTTTTGGAGGCTGACAAATTTTCGGTAGATTGAAGGTCCTCCCACAGAAGTGGCTATAATTTGATATTCCGGATTCCGACAGGGTGGAAAATATATTTGCAGAAAATTATTGAAATAGGTTCATGTTTTGACTTAAAAATGAAGGTCCCGCCCCTTATTATTTTTTTAATGTGTTGACCACAATTAATTCGGCATTCCGGACCTATTTTATTAAACAGACCACATATAAAGATCCAGCTACATTTTTGGTATTTCTAATTGGTCCATGTTTGAACCTAGCTCCCATATAAGGGTCCAACCCCATTTTATGTTTTCTATTTCGTGTTTTTGGAGGGTTAAACGTCTTTGCAAAAATGTTCGATGTAAGACCCAGTTTTGGCATAGGTCCCTAATAAAGGTCCCGACCCGTTTTCGGTATTTTTAAGATTTTGTTGCAATTTCTCACTGAAATGACAGTATATTTATAATCGAACTTTTCATCTTTATAGACCCATGTTTTGACAATGCCTCCTTATTAAGGTATCATCCCATTATCAGTGTTTTGAAAAGTTTCAGCCCTATTGTTCTACCGAAGTGGGTGCGACTTGGCATTTCAAGATTCACGAGGAATAAAATTCTATGTTAGCGCCGGTCTAGGTTTAGACATATCTCCGCTCTTTTTTCGACATTTTTGAGGTCTTGGCCACAATTTCCTACCAAAGTGGCGGCTTTTTTAATGCTGATATATGGTGGGTGAGAACATTTTTGCCGAAATTTGTTTATATAAGTCCCTTTTAGTCATAGCCCCTATCTAAAGATCCCACCCGATTGTAGATATTTGTTCCCCCTCATCCCACTGTGCATTCCCTATACAAACATCATTTTTCTTATCAACATCATCATATTTCATCCGTAACATTGTCATTTTTTTCTTTTGGTTTTTGTTAGACTTTCTCGATAACTTTGAGACACTTAAGCAGAATCTAAGTTTTCCCACACAAACTGATATGGCCGGATCAACAAGGGCATTGGTACGCCTGCAGGAGACATATAGATTGGATGTAGAACAAGTGGCCAGTGGTATATTAAATGGAAATAAATATGGGTATGTAAAACATAATACAAACAGACACACACACCCACATACAGAAAATCATTTGCGAACATGTGTTTAATGAACATTATTATTATTTTTTCTTTTGGTATTTATTTTGATATGTAATGAAATTCATTACAAAAACAACAGCTCTTCCATGACATGGCAAGATTGTTATGCGGTTGGTGAATATCTATATGCTATGCGAGATTATAATCACACCATACCATGGTTTAAACAGACCACAAAAATATTACAAGCCGATACGATACTAACCGAAAATGATGGTCTGCTGGATTTTATGGAAAATTTAGTGGAATATTATCGTACAATGGGTAAGATATCTTATTATACGAAGGCTTGTAATGTAATGTTGAAATTTTTGTGTGGGCATTTTTTATAGGTGAATATGAATCAGCCTTGGATCTATTGGATTATATATTGGAACGAAATCCTCAACGTGAACATGCTCTGGAAAAGAAATTGCAATTGGAAAATGAAATGAAAACTGTTGCTAGTGATAATAATCTTTCCAATGAACCTGTTGTAGAAAATTTGTATTATGTAAGTAAAATATTTACATTTTTGGTTAAAATTAACAAAGAAGATTTTCTAAATTTGAGATTAAACAAGTGAAAAAGCGTTAAGTTCGGCCGGGTCGAACTTTGGATACCCTCCACCATAGATATACTAAAAGGTGGTTGAAATGAAAATGTAGGGAAAATACCAAAACCATAATGTGAACCATGTTCCAGAAAATGTTGATTTCATCCAACCTGTGCCTATCTTATTATTCTTCCAAAGTTAGTTCAGGTTCGAAAATGTGGACTATCGGTCCACTCCCTCTGATACCTCCCACACAGGTGCTAGGCCTAAATGCGGGTTATAGTTCATGTATAGTTCATTATCGAACCTTACGTTCTAACTTTATCTCGATATCCTCCGCAGGTTAAATGGTTACGACAGACTCTTAGAACCAAACCCAAAACGCGGAACAAATTAGATAACTATTTTAATATAAAAAAGGGGGGTTATATGGGGACTACCCCAAAAAGGTGGCGAATATAAATAATTTTTTTTATCGTCTTAGAATTCCATAATTTGTAGGATAAAAACTGGCAATTTCGAGTAACGAATATCGCCCATACTATGGAAAATACACCTATATGGGGACAACCCAACGAAAGAAATCAGACCCCTGAAAGGGTCGAAAATTAGTAATTTTTGGGATGGAGATTTGTTACCATATACGACAAAAAATACCAAATTACAGCGAATTCAGTTGAAAAAACGACTTTAAGAACCCCAAAATACCGAAAATTTGCTACACAATTAGAGTTCAAAGCACTAAATTACAGACAATTCGGTCGAAGAGAAATTTAATACCCAATAAGAACCCAATATACCAAATTTAAGCAAATTCGGTTGAAAACGCGCTTTAGAACTCCAAAATTGGATTTTAACCTTATATGGCGCTACCCGAAAAAATTGACCTATATTTATAATTTTTAGTGGAGAGATTTGCTACCCGATAAAAACTCAATGTACTGAATTGCAGCCAGTTCGGTCGAAAAATGCGATCAAAACCCATAAAAATGCAGCGAATTGGGGGTACCATCTGTAAGATCCTCATTGATATATATAGCTCTGAATTCAGAGAGGTGCTAGCATAGAAGCGCTTAGAAAGCTAGTACTAAGTATTACCTTCATATGCGAGAAAATCAAACTGAAGCCCCAAGAAGTGTTGATGAAGAGATACCCAACAACAAAAGTGAGAGAACTGTGGAGTTCATGTTGGGTAGCAAATTTTCTAGTCAAAATGTTTGAATTTTTTAGGATAGACCCATATAATAGTACCTACCAAAATTTCGGAATTTTAAGAGTTTTAGCCTTTTTTAACCAAATGGCTGTAGTTTAATGTCTATAGCATATTTTAATTCAACAAATAATTCACCATGACATAGTCCCCCATAGACCAGATCGATGTAGATATTATGAATATCCATCTCTTGTTGGAGGCTCCAAAATATCCAGTCCGTTCGAACTGAACGATGTTTTTACTTGTTTTCTTGATGTGCGGGAATAAAAAAAGAGTCATTGTGTGTCAAGTCAGGACTATGTGGCGAATGAGCCATCAACTCAACGGTTTGGTCGGTCAAAAAGGCGGAGGTTTGAGCCTATGTGTCCTCATTTTATACCCTTCACAATTATGTTGTAATAACAGATATAAGTATGGTAAGAAATTATCTTTTCTGGGAGATTAGGCGTCGTAACTAGACGAAAAGCGAGTAAAAACGTCGGAACATTAGATTCGGCCGGACTAAACATTTTATACCCTTCACCACGTTATGGTGTTTCGTGCTCCAAATTACAGACACTCTAGTTGGAAAACTTAAGGGGACCCCCCCCCCCATTCTCGGGGTCAAAATTTTTTTTTGATTAAATTCGATTCTACACTTATTCAAGAATGTCCCTACAAATTTTCAAGTGAAAACCTCAAGACCTCTTGAAAATATAGCCGATTTATTGTGTCAGCATCAAGTGACGGCTAAAGGGCTTCTCAAACTTTAAACGCATTTTTCTCTTTTGCGAGTGGCGGTATGAACTAGGATAAAGCCAATCGGTGAAGATCTTCCCCTTTTTTAAATTGTTTTTTGGTCAAAAATCGGCGATTTTTCAAAAATATTTTTTCAAATAATCGCCATTTTGATTTATTTTTGTTCAACAGGAATCAGATATATCGAATTATAGACACTAAACCGCACAAATTTGTTTATAAATCAGCCTTCCAGAACCCTCCAAATGCCGAATAATGGGTGTACATATATATGAGTTACCCCGAAACTTGGGGCAATATTTTTCTCTCAATAAGACTCAAAAATATAAAAGTACAGCTAATTTCGCTGAAGCTCCCAAAATACCGAAATTTTGGTAAATTAACCCAAAACCATCAAAATACCTAATATGGGGCAGATCGTAGGCAGATCTGACAGCCCAAGAGAATCCAAAATTCTAAATTACACCTGATTATGTTGAAAAATTTGTTTTGGTGTTATGTATCAAACATTGTTTAATATGAATACATGTATTTTGTTTACTTCGATAATTATTTAGTACCACACATTCTATAATAACTAACTAACTATGTTCTTTTCAGAAAACCAAAGAATTTAAATCATTCGAAGCAGTGTGTCGTGGTGAATTTGACAACATCTACAACCCAGAGAGAAAAAATCTCTTTTGTAAATATTTTACCAACAATCATCCATATCGCCTGCTACAACCATACAAGGTAGAACAACTGTCGCTCGATCCATATGTCATACAAGTTTACGACGTACTCAGCGATCAACAAATTAAAACTATTAAAAATATTGCAAAACCTCATATGGATAGATCAAAAGTATTTAATTTAAATACGGATGAACATGAAGTCTCTGAGACGAGAACAAGTCACACAGCATGGCTTAAATATTATAAACATAAAGTATTGGAAAATATGTTGCAACATGTCAGCGACATATCGGGTTTGGATTACAGCAATGCTGAAGATATGCAAATTGTCAATTACGGTTTGGGTGGTCACTACGGGCCACATTTTGATTTTTTCACGGTAAATAATAAAATAATTAAATTTTAAAAAGAAAACATAAAATTTGTTAATTCTCACAGGAATCTTCTTGGTTTACTCCAGAGGATGGCAATCGCATTTCAACGGCCATGTTTTATGTAGGTATAACCCAGCTTATATTTATATCAATTTCAATTAATATTTCATCTACTTCCAGCTTTCTGATGTCGAGGAAGGTGGTGGCACAGGTTTCACTTTCCTCAAACTTTTGGTAAAGCCTCGCAAAGGCTCATTGCTGTTCTGGTATAATTTACATGCCTCAGGTCATGAGGATTATCGCTCGAATCATGGTGCATGCCCGGTGTTGAAAGGTTCCAAATGGAGTAAGTAAACGAAAAACTTGTAGTTGATGTGAAATAGTGTTATATATGTGTTTTTTTTTTATTTTTTTCTTTCTAGTTGCCAACATTTGGGTCAGAGAACGTGATCAGTTCCTAACGAAACCTTGTGATCTCACAACAAATCATGAAGTATCATTAATTTATAAAGATTTTGAAGAATAACCACAATAAAAGTATTATTTATTTATAGTAAAATATAATCTTAAAAAGTATATATTCTCGTGGAAGATTTTATTTTATAGGGATGTAATAGCTGTAGTAGCGGATGTTTTATTAATTCAATGAACTATATCAATTGATACGGCCGAACCGGCCTACGAAATAAAGATAACTTTAGTGGGAAGATGCGGTTAAATCCTGAAAAATATCGAAAATAGAGCGTGAAATTTTTACGAGGGCTAAGTGAAAACATTAACATATATTCATAATTTTCTACCATAATCACTAGGATACCACCTACTAGGATAGAAATATGAAAATCAAATAAAATGCCTCCAACAACCCGGAGTATTTCACCAAATTATATTCCCGTTGTTTTAACCATGGCATAAATTTAAATTTGAACAGGCAATTTGGTTTAAAAACTCGCTCGAAATATCAAAAAAATTAGGGGGCTACCCGAAATAATGGAGCAAAATGTTAAATGCAATGTTTCGACTATTTTTATATTATCGGCTTAACTTTTATGTTTATCAACTTTTATGTTTATGAACGGCCACCAGGTTCTAAAATTCAAAATTTTTGGAAAACTCATATTTATGAGCTTTATATAAGAATTATTTGATGATTATCTTCAAATTACTAACAATTTTAAGTTTCATTCTAATCACCAGGTTAGAAAAGTAATATTCATTCACTTTTTGTTGCCGTATACATAAGTATTTTAATTTTCATCGGCATATGTCGTCGAGTGCTGGAGTTATACCAAGTACGAGTGAATTTGGCTTGTGGTAGTGTCCGCAGTTTTTATGAAAAAACATCGACTTTGAAGTGGCCACATAAAAAAAACATTGTGTATTTTTTAAAAAGTCTGTAAAATCTATCAAAATTGGCAACAATTTGTACAGTACACCTAACATTCGGAAAATCACCCTTATTATAGAAAATAACGATCCAAATGTACCAGAATTTGCCAGAATTCGTAGAAAACAATAAATAATTCTTAAAATAAATAGATATTTTAAATTAAATCTCAAAAAACGGGTATTAACCCAAAGGGACGATTCTTTATTAAAGAAGGCCGAAATATTATTGCAGTATGTGAGAAAATATCGATTAATATTGGCATTTATTATATCAAATCGATTGTTCAAGTAGTACAGAATATACTTTATCAAAAAATATTAGGTTGGGGAAAAATAAATCCATTATTTTTATATGAAATATAGGACTTTATTTAACATGCTTCGGAATGTCCGATTTGGGCCAAATATGCACCGATTTGTTTGTTGCCATTTGAAAAGTAACTTCACAATGCCTCTCTCATAGAAGTCCTACTCTCAATTTGCAAAAAAAAAAAAACAACTCTAGCAGTCGATTTTCACAATCCTCCCTAGATACATATTTTTTATCATTAAATAAATTTTGGACAATTCAGGCCGTTTCTGGTCAATTGTAATTGTTTTAAAACCGTTTTATGGTCGATTTTTATTTCTCCGATTTTATCGACATTTTCGATGATCATGCACATAATTGGATGTTACAGTATCGGAACCATAAACACCATGCATAATTTTTGCCGCTTGGCTTGCATTTTCACCTTTGCCAAAGATAAGCTCTCTTTGTTCACTACCATTTTTAACACCCTGTAACTCACAACTGAATGCACCAAATAAAAAACAGGTTCACTGCGAAATGTCACCCTTCCAACGAGCACAAATCCGAAATTTGTGATCAATACTTTACGAGAAATCTATCAGTATAGCCATCTGCCGAAAAAATAATGGATTTCTTTTTCCCAAACCTAATATATAAGGGAGTCGTTCTCATATTTTAAACATTTTCTATGATGTGGAGGTGGTCCACATTAGACGCATGCAGCTTTTCAATCTGTATAGCTGACTTTTGAGTTGGAGTGATAATCACCACCATTTTGTCATTTTTTAAGAGAAAGTTCTACACATTACTAGTTTTACTATTAATTGATCATTCAATTCAACCAATAATAATTTCATTGGAGAATAAATAAACTCTGTTTCTCATAATTTACTACTAATAGCGCTGATCAATTTCTATCTTCACAAATTCAATACACCTCCATGCTCATACAAATTAAAATAAACATATATCAAGTTACTAACTTACCAACAGCCGTGGTAAAATTTAAGAGATACGTTTCTAATAAGAGTTAAACAGCAAAACGGAAGAGAACGAACGACGGACGATAATCAAAACAAAACAGAAAAAACGAAACAGCGAAACACAAACGATTTTTTTTTCACTTGGTACAACTGAGATTGGAGACAAAAAAATATTTATAAATAAAACACTTAAATCTTTTATTCAACACACTTAATAATTTATTCGAGGCTTTGTTTAAAATATTTATAACACCACACAAACGAATATTTCCTAAATTAATTAAAAGAAAACGCGTAACACAACACGAGCAACGAGAACACACAACCGGCACGAATAAATGCAAAAAGAATCTGAGCTCGAACTAGACAAGTGTTGCCAGTAGTGACAAATGAATAGATAAATTTGCACTCTTGTGATGACAATTACAATGGTGATATTCAGTTGGTTGTTTATACGGATCATAGAGAAGGCTATGTTTACATCAATGTGAATTGGCATTTCTGAATTCCAGTCAATGAATGAAAATTGAAAATTTCAATTCAAAAATTCGCGCTCCAACCAAGGACGATAATAGTAGGAAAGGGGAATCTAATGTAATGTTTTCGCTTGCCTTAGGCAACAATTAATATAAAATGTATATTTGTGGTAGACTGTAAAAAATTGAAGTAATACCCTAAATAATTATGTTGACGGTGTGTGGTTGTAATGTTCTAGATGCAACTGTTAGTATATCAATGGCCATATCTCGCGTAAATAAGTCGATTTAGACATATCTCCATTATAATTGATAAAGGCCACAGTTATGAGCCAATCTTGACGACATTTTGCATTTATGTCAGGTTCTGGACAAATAAGGTCCCTATATTTAAAGGATTTAATGGACCAAAATTTATTTTTGTCTATTTTGTGGTCGGTAGAGGTCACACAATGAACCGAACATCACAATATTTTACACACAGAAGGGGATCAGACCAACAGTAAATATGAGTGTTTTGATCCTTCAATATTTAGCGGATCAAATTGACTTTTTTATAAATAACAAATCTTGCATTTAATGGTATATTAAATAACTCTAAAAAGACGTAGATCAATGAAGATGCATATAATTTGTCTAGTCGGTCTTAAGGCAACTAAAATTGCCTTGAAATTGACATTCTTTTACACCCACAGCCTTATGGCTAATTGGGTTATATACTTTGGAACAGTAAAAATTTGCCTTATCTTTGTACCAAATCGTTTCAGCCAATTGGAGTCGATTTAAAAATGTCCGTTCGTCTGTCTGGCCGGTGCGCACGATACCATTCGAAGGAAGTAACCGATTTCATCCAATCGTAATATTTCTTCTTAGTTTGAAGATAGGGAATATCGGTCCACTCCTTCCTTCTACCCCATAAAATTGTGCTACAAATTAATTTTATAATATCATGCGATATTATAAAATTTGAAAGGTATTTTAAGTTTTTATCCTGTTCTGGTATTTCGCGATTAAAATTTTGACAGCAAGAGAAGACTAAGCCTTGAATTCGCCACCCGGTAGCGCAAACCAACTTCTCCTTTTTTATACAGTAGTTTTGACTTGATGGGCAAACAACATTTGCAATTATTTGTGTGCAGAGTCAAAAGTGCAGATATCGCAAATCTCTTACCAGGCTCAACGCGCTCGCAAATTAAATAACTGCATAAAAATGCCACAATGTTAAATTTTCTGAAATACGTGATTAAGGAAGGCTATTTTTTGCATTAAAAACAATAGTCCTTTTCTGTCGTTTTCGACGATGTGTAAAAAATAACAACTGTTTTATAATTCATGTGCTGCTAAATACAATAATTTTAAGTAAGTACAAATGTGAAAATGTGCAGGTATCAATTGCGCGCTCAAACGAAATATTTGAGTGTGAATGTGTAGCTATATACAAGGCAGGTAAATCAAAACGAGTGTATTATGCTGCTTTTCACACTTTTGTACGAATACTTTTTCTGGTAGCAAATGATTGCCAAACGACATTTTTCCTGTTAGAAAAAATTGTGAAAACATAGAGCGTGGAATACATATAGAAAATAAAGAAAATATCCGAAGAAGCGATGGTATTGAATTATCAACCAAATGTTTGTGTTTATGGTTTTTGTAAACACTTCAAGTATGTGTGGTTAGCTGCATTTTTTTTTTAAATATTACTTAAATAGGAGCCTATCATTTCCTTGCTCCAGAAGATATTTCGTCTAATTTTCCCTGAACATGTCCGGACCAACCTTTATGATTGTTGTCGAAGAATGGCATTATAGACTTTTTATTCTGAAATAATTGAACTTGGGTATCTTTACCGAAAGCAACAATAAAACTATCGATTGTTATTGTCTTTAAAGGCCAACCGAGTGTTTCTTCAGTTTTGTTTTGATTTCAATGCCTTTTGGACAAACCCACCGAACTTTTCATGGATTGGCTATGATGGAAGATTTTTCAATGATTTCCTCCACTCGTGAATCAATTAATTGTCATTTATTATACCACATGTATTTGGCCACCCACTCTTAGGACGTTAATACAAAAGTGACACAAAAGACAATATTCATTTTTTCGTTTTTTTGGTAATATAAAAGTTTTATTAGGATCCGTATAAACAATATACTGAATATGTATCACCATTGTAATTGCCATCACAAGAGTGCAAATTTATCTATTTATTTGTCAATACTGGCAACACTATTCTAGCTCGAGCTCAGTTTATTTTTGCATATCTTTGTGCCGGTTGTGTGATCTCGTTGCTGGTGTCGTGTTACGCGTTTGCTTTCGGAAATATTCATTTGTGCGGTGTTATAATTGTTTTTAACAATTCCTTAAATAAAATATTACGTGTGTTTAA